AGTACCTCTTCCTTCCCTCTCCCACTGCATCAGTACCTCTTCCTTCCCTCTCCCACTGCATCAGTACCTCTTCCTTCCCTCTCCTGCTGCTCTTTCTACTCCAGACTCCGCCGCTAAATCTTGAGTCAGCATAGGAGAGTCTGGCTCATTCCATAGCCTAGAGATCTGCTGCATTTGTTTTCCTGCACACATCATGATCATTCTTGTTTATTGGTGATTAAAATGCAGTTCTGTATAAGTAACCTATCTTCTTTATCTACTCATCTCTTGATGGATACCTAGATTGGATCCATTACTTAGCTGTTTTGAATAGTACCCAAATAAATGTAGATGCAAAAGTAAAAGAATCAAATATATCATTACAATTTATGATCAGTGAATAGGTTTTATTGAAATTAATAGTGTTGTCAGCTTTGTTTTAGTCATTGATAGCTACTTAAAAGAAATCAAACTCTTTAAATAAGCACATAATATAGTTGGTGGTAGACTATTCCTGTTAATAAACAGTTAACATACTGGAAATCTAGTATATAACATGCATTTTTATGAATTATTTTTATTTTGAAAATGTAAGAGATGCTATCATTTTGTTTTTATCCCTCGTTTGTTAAAGAAATTGAGTTCTATAGTTATAAAGGTTCAGTACCTTGCCGAAAATTTTAGTTTCCTGTTTTGGAGATACTATTTAAAATTGACTAACTCCAAAATTCATTTTCTGTTTACTACATCATGCTTCTAAATAAATAAATAAATAATTACAGAATACAAGCAAACAACTATTATTTTGATGTAAGTTTTTCTGTAAGTATAATTTCATTATAATCATGCTTATAAAATTAAAAGAAAGGATGAATTATTTAATTTATAGTAGCATTTAATCTTGAGTTCATTTTAACTGCAGAAGTATAACCATGTAATTTTTTTGTTGGCTTGAATTTTCTCTCCTTTTGTTTGTCTTTCATTCTGAGGGAGATTTCTTTCTTTTTTTTCTGTGTTATTTTGTGCAGGTTATGTGGGTGTGTAATTTGTGCCGAAAACAACAAGAGATCCTCACTAAATCAGGAGCGTGGTTTTATAATAGTGGGTCAACTCCATCACAGCAGCCCGATCAAAAGGTTCTTCGAGGGCTTCGAAATGAGGAGGCACCTCAGGAGAAGAAAGCGAAACTCCACGAGCAGACCCAGTTCCAAGGACCCTCAGGTGACTTACCTGTCCCTGCAGTGGAGAAAGCTCGCTCTCATGGCCTCACAAGACAGGATTCTATTAAAAACGGATCCGGAGTGAGGCACCTGATTGCCAGTGATGTCCCTTCTGACAGGTAAACATCTTGTTGAGTCTCTAATGTTTGTGTTTATGTTCATGGTGTGTCGGGGTTCCCATGTGCAGGTGGGAGGAGGACAACTCTGTGGAGTTAGTTCTCGCCATCTGCCTTCTCGTGTGCTCTGGAGATTGAACTTGGGTCATCAGGCTTGTGTGGTGAGTGCCTGCTGAGCCATCTTGCTGACCTAATGTAGTACTCGTTATATGCATTCCAAGCAGAAATAAACATATAGGAAAATTTTAAGCAACAGTGAGTTGCCTACATGTTGTATCCTTTTTTTTTTTTTTTTTTGGTAAGTGCTCTATGTGATGTTCAGGTGTTCAGGATTTGAACTACGACAGATTTGAAGTATTTTATATTTGATATGGGCAAGATTATAAGACAGATTTCCAAGAATAAAGAAATGAATTTTAATATGACAACTTTTGTTGCTGTTGTAAATTGCAGCCTTCCTACTCAGTGTATTAGCTTTTCACTGTAGTCTTTCTTGAGTAAAGGCAGGGTCTGTTTCTTCTTGTGTTTAGTAGGCATTTATATAGTTTATGTGGTAAACAGTCTTTTTTTTTTTTTTTACATGTTTGCACTAAATTGTAAAAGTACTTTATATTTCTTTTTAAGCTTATGTATTACAAATGTTTTCTTTTTAAATTTCTTGAAATATAATTTGATAATATACAGGGTTCACTGTGTAGCTTAGGCTGGCCTGGAGCTTGTAATGTAGTAAGGGTACCTTTAAATTCCTTATTCTCTTATCTCAGCCCCCCAGGTGCTGTCATTTGCCACCATACCCATCTTATCTGCCTTTTGATGAACACAATCCTTATTTTGATGATATCTGATTTGTTGTTGATTAGTACTTCCTAAGAAAAATCATTGATTCCAAGAAATCATTGCTCACCCTTGAGTCAAAATGTTTCCCTCCATTCCTTTTAGAGGCTTTGTGTCTTTAGTTTGAATCAAAGGCAAAACCTCTTCTTGAGTACTTTCTTTTGTGGTAATGGGAAGCAGACCCAGTGACTCATGCATGCAAAGCAAGTGCTCTTCCACAGAACTATCGCTAAGTTGCTTCATCTCAACTGCTAGAAAATTTATGCTTTTATGTTTTACAGTTATACACATGATCCATTTTTGGTTAAGTTTCTTAGAATTAAAAGAGAAACACTTTCAATGTATATTTCTCTGAATTATGAAACTTTAGTTGTTATACCACCAGTTATTACAAAGGCGATTCTTAACTGACTGCTTTTGTTCGTCTGTCTAGAATGAGTTGTCAGCTCTGAGTAGTCCTCCATGTAGACTTGTCTTCTCCTTCACTGATCTGCCTTCATGCCAAGGCCTCGTTGTTGTGATTGCTAAACACTTATGTGCCTTCAAACAAGATAGTGTTAGGCATCTAACTTGGTTATTTTTAAAGCTGTTATGGTCATTAGAAGTTTTTATTTGAATTTTAGGATTGTGTAATGAGTATAATTTAGATTAATTACACCACAAATGCATAACATTGTACTTAATTCACATAGAATGGTGTCTGCCATTTCTGAACAGTAGAAAGAGTATAGGAAACATAGAACTGGGTTTTTAATTTATTCTATAGCTTTTAATTGAGAAATTTACTTAATTTAAATTTTAAGTAATTATTGATTAGTTAAGGTCTTATAACTACTTTGTAATTTGATTTCTAGCATTTTTGTTTTTATCTTTCATTTTCTCTCTCCACCTTTTTTTGATATTTAAATTGACAAGTCAAAATGGTATGCTGTATTTTTAGTGTATAGCATAGTATTTGGCATATATATATATATATACACACACATACACACATACACACACATGCATATATATATATATATGTATATATATATATATATATATATATATATGAATTTTGGAATGGGTAAATCAAACTATTTAACAAATGAGTTTTATCACTTATCTATTTATCCAGTGAGAAGATTTGAAGGCTGTTCATCAAGTTTCAAATTTATAATATCTTTTTACTAATTATAGCTATCATGGTATAAATAGAGCTCTTTCATTATTATCTATTAAGTGTACATATTCTTGGATGTTATAGTGTGATGTATACATGTATGTAGCTAGAGTTTTCCTGCCTTGCCCATAGTCAGGACAAATCTTTGTCACCCGCCAGTCCCACAGCCGCTCAGACCCAACCAAGTAAACACAGAGACTTATATTGGTTACAAATGTATGGCCGTGGCAGGCTTCTTACTAACTCTTCTTATAGCTTAAATTAATCCATTTCCATAAATCTATACCTTGCCATGTGGCTCGTGGCTTACCGGCATCTTCACATGCTGCTTGTCCTGGCAGTGGCTGGCAGTGACTCCTTCTGCTTTCCTGTTCTTTCTTTTCTCCTCTGTTAGTCCCACCTATACTTCCTGCCTAGCCACTGGCCAATCAGTGTTTTATTTATTGACCAATCAGAGCAACACATTTGCCATACAGAACATCCCACAGCACATGTATGCAAATAGCATGTTAATTCTCCCTCTTTTATACTTTTCATTTGTGGTTAAGTAATTAGTCTAGAGGAGTGCTTGAGTCCTTGAGTATCATTTTCTATTTGTCAGTTTTAGATTCTTGCTTTTGGTCATCAGAGAGCTTGCTAAAATGGCCTTTTGATTATAACAAGCTATTTTGAAATGATAACAATATGTTATGATCATAAAGACAAGAAAAAGACTAAGGAGAAATATGCTAATGAAACATTCTATGCTTGTATTCTGTTCATTCCCAATTTTGATTTTTTTATTGTTTCATTTTACTTCTTTTTATATTGCTCGTCCCTAAGGATACTAATGTAGTTTTTTTTTAAATGATTTTTCTTTTAGTCAGTATTAAAAGTACGTATGGTTGATGCAGCATATTACATATTAGGGCAATTTCATTTTGTTTCTTTGTTTTTACCTGTGTTATTTTTTTTATCTTCTAGTGTTTTTCTCTTTGCTCATTAAGGGACATTTCAAGTTGAAGAACTGCCTTCAGCATTTCTTTCAGAGCCTTTCCTCCTTAAATCTGGGAATGTCTTTATTTTTCTACATCTAATTGACAGCTTTGCTATATACAGTAATTTTTGTTGGCAGTTTTTCCATTCAGTACTGTAAAATATCATACCTCTCCTGTCCTGTAAGGTTCCTGATGAGAAGATTGCTGTCAGGTGATATGTTAATGAATTGTTTTGTTTTGTTTCCCCTCATTCTGTCTTGAGAATCTCTTATCTTTCATGTCTGACAGCATGAGTATAATATATCTTGGAGTGAATGTAATTAGTTAAATCAGTTAATTGGCCTTTGATCTTCCTGTCCCTGTATACTTTTTGGGGGGAGGGGATGGGGTTAGGTGTAGGTTTTCTGTTTATTTTCTTTTCAAATACACTTTCTTCCCTTTGGCAATAACAAGTCTGTTAACCACAGTATCCCCAATGTTTACCCCTTCAGTGCTGTCTTGAAACTATTGTATGCTCATTTTTTAGTTAGGTTTCTTTTGCTGTGATTAGATACCGTGACCACAGCAACTTGTGTAAAGAAATCATTTAATTGGGGCTGGCTTATAGTTTAGAGGTTTAGTCCGTTATTGGTGTGGCAGAAAACATGGCCACATGTAGGCAGACATGGTGCTGGAGAGGTGGATGAGAGTTCTACATCTTGATCTGCAGGCAACAGTGTAGCTAGAGTTTTCCTGCCTTGCCCACTGTGAGGACAAATCTTTGTCACCCGTCGGTTCCACAGCCGCTCAGACCCAACCAAGTAAACACAGAGACTTACATTGCTTACAAACTGTATGGTCGTGGCAGGCTTCTTGCTAACTGTTCTTATAGCTTAAATTAATCCATTTCCATAAATCTATACCTTGCCATGTGGCTCGTGGCTTACCGGCATCTTCACATGCTGCTTGTCCTGGCAGTGGCTGGCAGTGACTCCTTCTGCTTTCCTGTTCTTTCTTTTCTCCTCTCTGTTCATCCCGCCTATACTTCCTGCCTGGCCACTGGCCAATCAGTGTTTTATTTATTGACCAATCAGAGTAATTTGACATACAGACCATCCCCCAGCACAACAGGAAGTGAACTGCGTGTCACATTTGTCATAGTTTGAGCATAGAAGACCTCAAAACCTACACAGCTACTCCAACAAGGCCATACCTCCTCCTAATAGCGCCACTCCTCATGGGGACCATTTTCTCTCAGACTACCACAGCTCACTCCATTTCTCTTGCTTTCTCTTGTTTCATCCTCTGTGTTCTTAAATAGTGTGTCTTGGGGCTTGTTCTTTGTTTGCTCAGGTTAACTTCCATATTAATGTCTTTTTTGGGCATGCTTTAAAATTCTCTGGTGTATTTTTCAATTGTAAGATTTCTGTTTGATTTTTAAACATTGTCTCCATTTTTGTTTTTGTATGAGAATTTTGAATTACTTCTTTGTGTTCGAGAAGCTCTTGGTTTCTTTAAAACAGCGATTTAGAACTCCATTCAGGAGTATACCTGTTTTCAGTATCTCTTGCCTTATTTTGGCTGTTAGTTGATCTCAACTAAAAGTTCTTGGTGTTTGTTGGTCTTAAATCTCATTCTTCATTGAAGAGTTAGGCACTTATTCTCAATTTGCAATATTTGTGCCTATTTTTCCAAGAATTCTAAGCACGTTGTTTATTTTCTATGGATATGTTGTCCCTTCTGCTATTTCAGCGTTTTGTTTATTAGCGCGAATCTTAATTGGTCTTAATAATAAAAACCCAGAGCCAGATATTGGGGTAAATGCTGAAAGATTAGAGAGACAGAGGGGCAAGCCACAACTACCCCTTACCTTGCCAACTCCTCAGCCTGAAGGGGGGCCGAGCTCCTGTCTCAGCCTGCCTTATAGTCTTCTCTTGGCCCAACCATATCAATTTCCATTTCCTCCTCCCTAGTCCTGGGATTAAAGGCATGAGATCCCAAGTGCTAGGACTAACAGTGTGGGCTACCACTGCCTGGCCCCTATGGTTAAC